CAATTCCGAAATCGCGCCCCCACTGGCACTTTGAGAACGATTGGTCATGATTAGAAGAGGACAGAACTATAAATTGATTTTCACATGCTTGTAGAAAAGCGACAGTTCAGGGTTGGCCACCTAGCAAATGGAGCTGGGAGCTTGATTTCATAAGAATTACCTTTTCTAATGACGACCAATGGTTCTCAAAGTCTCCAGTGGGGGCGAAATTTCAGAATTGCGCTCAAAGCGAATAGCTAGCCTTAATAAAAATTTTAAAAAAATTGATGGTGTCTTTAATGATGTAGATTTTAATGGTGATGGAAATATTCATATGAGTAATAGAGACAGTGATACTGACACTGAGATAATCGTTGATAATTATGAGTTTGACATAACGGTATAAGCGATAGGAACATTGATAGAGACAGTGACAGAGACAGTCATACTAATACAACAGTTGTAGACTATGATAGTTATAGAAACATTGCCATTAATGATGGAGACAGTAATAGTGACATTTGTGACATTCGAAGTGGACGTCCTCTCACTGTAGTGGATAAACAAAACATTAATAGGAAAAAGTTAAATAAAATAGTTGCTATAGTAAAATACAATTCGGATGATAAAAGCAACTACATTTCAGTGGATAAAGAAAATTCCTGAATTGTAGTGACGCTGCTTCAAAATAAAAAGATGAAGACTCTTTAGGATTTCCAAAACATTACTTATGACTGCGGTGCGTGTAGAATCACAAACAAAGTTAGTGGTTACAAGAGAAAATACTGAGAAGATGTGATAAGTGTAAGATATATAAGAAATTATATTACAGACATCATGAAACGCCTAAATGCACGCGGCAGTTTTATAGAAGATTGGGTGGTCTTATTTATAATAAGCGTATTTATATTATTCAAAAATCATCATTATAATTTATTATTGAATATGATTAAACATTTGAGATTCATTAGTTTTCCATGGATACATATTATTGAAATGTAAGAAATAATGGATGTAAGAATTGTCATAAGTAAAAATTAGATGTAATAAATAATATAAAAACTGTACAGTTGCTTACACATGTGCGCTTCTGGTGCTACTCTTCCTCCACGAGAAGCGGCGACAACCTACCACTATCAGGGGGGAGACTCAATCTCTTGTGCTACATCTCCCCCCTAGGTAAGCCAGAACCGTCACACTCTACCCCCTCCCCTTTGCAGGGCCCATCTTATTCAATCCCATAGCCGGAACGTTCTTTTGAGAAAATATTACTACTACACATACAGAAGCTACTCTCCTGATAAATCCAGGGTTCTTAGAACACGTGGTCCTCGGAGTATTTTAACTTTCTTGAAACTCGGAAAAAGTAGATCTCTTTCTGACACTTAATACAAGTCGGAAACTTAGTTTTGGTGAAAAATAAGTCTATTTCTCCTGGTAAATGGCCCCTAGTGAGAGTTTTCGATGTCTCCAAGGATCTAAACGTGCTGCTTGCGAGTTGTAAAGATTAAAATTCAAGATAACTTTTTAACTAGACCTATCTATAAATTAATGTTACTTTACACTGTACTCAAGATATAATTATAAGGCACTTTTTAAATTTCTTATAACTATCGAAGATGTGCAGTTTTGTATTCACGATCTCACTTCACCACCCTTTTCCATCATGTAGCCAATAACAGTGAAAAAATTTGAATTATTATCCACCGTCGTTTTTCATGCTAAGTTTACTGCCATATTGTAACTAAGCTTGTAAAAGTATGCTAAGACTTTATTCTCACACTCTCTTGATGACCATTCGCATGGCCTTCTATACATCAACTTGAGGAGCATGAATGACATCAGATGCTCTATGTCAAGTGTGGACGCATGTAAGTATATCGGAAGCCGTTTGCACTGAGTACTCTACGCGTGTACTGTGTGTAAAGTGCATGCGCCGTACCTAAGCGAGTCAGAGATTGTTGGTCCGAACTTTGTGTCTCATGCAGTTATGAGCAGTCCATCTACTATAAGTATAAGAGCCACTCGTTCCACGCTGATCTCTCCATTATCTCTCTTGGAATTATATATACTAGGAAAATAAAACTGATCTAAAAAAGTCCAAGTCAAGCTCTATTTAGCGCAACTTCTTTTTTTCCATTTTCCTGCACTTTTTTCCTGAAAGTTCCAACCTCCATCCAGTGCAGAATTGTGCCTCCCAGGACCTGTCCTACGCATAAGCTATCTCTACATGCCATTAAATTTGGTTTAGAAAGAGAAAAAAAAAAAAAATTTTAAATGCCTAGAAATACCGAAGAAGTAAAAGGATTTCAGGGGTTTGTTACTTTTTGCACAAAGTTCTCACGTGATGTATGATACAAAATGAAGCCCCTACTAGAATGAATTTGTAAGAATTAACATTGGAAATGGGAGAGGAGCAAGTACTTGCAAGCATTCAACCACGTTAAAAATTTATTCAACCATGATTTATTTCTAAATCATCTTGACTTTAGTGAGCCATTTATGTTATAAACAGACACTAGTATCATTGCTCTTGGAACTATTCTCTGTCAAATAGATAATCATAATAAAGAGAAAGTCGTATCTATGTCTAGTTGGACCGTAAAATTTGCCAAAAAAGTTATTTATTACAGAACTCGAATTACTATTCGTTACCCTAATGATAGCTAGTGATTAGGGACAAGACTAAGGGAAAGAGTTTTTGAGCATACCATAGGAACAAAACATGGTTTCACATGCTTTGCACATATTTGGAGGGAGGGGACTGAGGAGATGAATATTGCACTTGTATCTAATTCTAGCTCTGCTGTTTTCGTATGGCACTTGTATCCTCATCGAATGCAGCTGTCTTCTTATTAGACTGGAGTCCTTGCTCTGAGGTTAAGGAAAGTTGAATAGCTCTTTAATATCCATCATTCAGAAACAGTACTCTAAACCATTAAGTTAGACATTTATATTATAATGGCGAGAATGCGAACAGCTTAAGAAAACAGCAAGAATGAACTTGAAGAGGATTTAGAGTTTCAAAATTTTTTAAACGAGATGCCGCCATGTATTGTCAATGTTCAAGATAAAATGTTTCCGGGGCAACTGATAGAGAGCGATTTTTGGAATGAATCGATACTTCAAACAGCTTATGATAAAAACTCAGGAGTTAATAGTAAGTTATTTTTTTCACTGATTTATTTATTTTTAGAATGAAGTTCTTTATGTCGCGTTACTTGGGGGGCTAGAATTTTAAAACAGACAGATTTTTTTTTTTTTTTAAACGAAAGTGGTTTCACCCGAAGTCTCTCACTCTCAAGTTTCCCCCCTTACCCCGTTCCCCTTGCCTACTGTTCTCTATACACTTCCCCTCTCCCCACTATATATGTATATCTGCCAACTGTGCCGTGTTACTCTTCTGCACACTTTTACCCACCATTCCACCTCCCACTCCAAAGCCATTAATTTTTAAACAAATTTTTATTTGACTTTGAATTTTTTTTCTTTTACAATTCTAAAAAAAAAAAAAAAATTTTCAGTAAAGAAATTTGAACCCTCGACCTCCTGCATACGAGTCGAGTACCTTACC